GAGAAATTCGTCACCAGACATTTTTGCGGGGCTTCTTTTTTCAGAAACCTACCGTAAACGCGCAACTTTCAGCCTATATATCTCGTTTCCTGTGAAAGATATCAAAAATGTGTCAACTGATAAAATGTTTGTGATATTATGATTAATATTTTGTTAGTTAACAACTTTTCGATATCTGTTATAGGAACTGAGCTATATAGACTTAAAGTTGAAAAAGAGTCGCTAGTCGGGTGAGCGGGTGACCTCTTATATTTAAGTCAATTTATATCAGCTGTTGTGAATGATATCAAAATTTGATTANNTANCAAGCCGTTTGTGNTCAAACCAATAAACTTTTCAAAAAATTTCTGCAAACAAAAAATGTATGGAAATGTTTTTAGATTACTGTAGTTTTCGTTGTGGGACCTTTGGTCATGGCCTTCGGCGATTCTCTTCCACAGTTTTAATTTTTTGTACCAGAATAACAAAATCTAAAAGAAATTGCTGAAATAGTATAGTCAGTCAGAACGGAACCGAATTCAAAAACAAATTTATTTGTGGTTTGAAGACGATTTATCTGGAAAATACAATTTCTCCATCTCTAATATTTTCAGGTAACACTCATGATGTCTACAATGAAAATGCGAGTGGAAGTTGATGAGTACGAACGGCGGAAGATTAAAATGAAGTGAGATATTTTTCTTCATCCATTTTGAGATTTTATATTTTCAGAGAAGCAAAAAAGAAAGCGCAAGACTGGATAAATAATCTAAAAAATCGAAGTATGAGGAGTCTTTCGAGAAGTTCTAGAAGAAGTAAGAGCTCCGTGATAGAGACTCCTCCGTATAATTCTGGTAAATTTACTACTGTAGGTCAGGATTCCCAAATTCAACCTTTCAGATTCCACAAGATCATATAAAAATGGAAACAGTTTGAATGTTCCGTTTTCAATGAGCCAACAAGCGATTCACGTAGAGGATGAAACCAGGTCGGGAGCTAGTTCCACTCGTCAAAGCGTTTGCAGGTAAAATTTTTAATACTGTAGTTCTTATTATGCTGATATGCAAAAATTGGAGTCGTGGAAGAGAAAATCTGGTGGCCGCGGCAGGAAGTCACACAAAAACAACTACTGTACCGTAACCTAGAAGCATTTTCATTCATATTTTGTTTGCAGAAATCTTTTGATAGCTTTCTTCGTTTGCGAGATATGCGCCTTTGAAGATGAGACGCGTCGTAGATGTCTTTCCTTTCCTTTCAAGGCGCATATCTCGCGAACCATTAATGCTATCTAAATTTAATAAACTAACAAAATAAGTAAAATTTTATGAACTATATTTTACTAGTTTACAAAATTTTGATAGCATTTTTAGTTTTTGAGATATGGTGCTTCAAAGTTATGTTGGGCGCACTTTGTTCAATCGAGTATATCTCAAAAACTAGAAGAGCTAGAGTACAATTATCTACTAGAAAATTGTAGATCATGAAATTTTACACATTTTGATAGCTTAAAACTTTTTAGCTAGCAGGCATCCAGAGATACAGCGCTTCAAAGTTACCAGGAAAGAAGTGAAAAACAAGAAAATAAACATGGCAACTTTGAAGCGCTGTATCTCTGTAACCTTGTCAACTATCAAAAAATTTTCAACTAACAAAATGTGTCACATTTTGTGTTGTACAATTTTTTTTGAACATTTTTTTCTAGCTCTTTATACTCAATTCTATAAATTTCGTATTCTTTTATATTATTTATGTATAATCCTCTCCTCCATTCCTCTATTTCCTTTATCATTGCTCATTCCTAACGCCCTCGCTCTCACTGTACTTTACACCTTCTGACGATCTCTCACTCTACCCAACGCTCTCTCCCCATGACGCATTCGTCCCAAGACTTTTGACTCCGCCCCCAACGATCTGACGACCAGCTTGCATCATTCCATCCCTCATTGTTACATTCGTCCCAACAGGAGACGGTCGCCCAAGACCGTCCTCCACCTTTTTCCCCCTTTTTTCTTTCTTTCCTTCTTTACTTGTTACTTGTTAATTTTTGAGATATGTTCGATTGAAAAAAAGTGTGTTATGAAGGGTCATATCTCAAAAACTGAAATTGCTATCAAAATTTTGTAAACTAGTGAAATATAGCTCATAACATTTTACACATTTTGTTAGCTTGCGAAATTTTGATCGTCTCAATGGTTCGCGAAATATGTTTCTTTAAAGGAAGGCAGAGACACCTACGACGCGTCTCAAATTTAAAGGCGCATATCTCGCGAACCATTAACGTTATCAAAATTTCGCAAGTCACAAAATGTGTAAAGTTTTATGAGCTATATTTCACTAGTTCACAAACCTTTGATAGCAATTTTAGTTTTCCAGATATGGCGCTTCAAAGTTTAGTTGGTCGCTCTTCCACAGCTCCAATTGTTTATACAAGCATAATAGGAACTTCTATATTTGCCTTTCTCCAATAAAATATATCGAAAGTCTGATATTGATTAGGATTTCCAGCGCTCCTACTCCTCATCTCGAGGTTAATCTTCCTGTCCGATGCAACTCTCATCTTGGCTTCTTGCCAGAAATCGTTGTAACCGAAGAACGTCCGAAACTTTGTCTCCTCTTACCACCTCCGACTCGCCGACGAAAGTCGGTCACTGCAACCTCAAATCAACCAATTCACAAGTCTGTGTCATGCCAGCAACTAACCATATCAAGGTAATACTTTGATTTCTGTTTTCAATTTTCTCCGAAACTTTTAATTTTCTCCGAAATTTCTCGAGTGAAGGTGCTTGACCTTGTCACTCCTCTCCTTATCAGTTCTTTTCTTGGTAATCTGCAAATTTTACTACGATAAGGCAGCCTAATGAGAATGGAATATTCCAGAAAATCATCCATGTCCAGTGCACACAGTGTTTCTCCGTCGCTTTCCGAAGAAATCGTATTCAATTTTCCCGACAGCGGGTCCGCCACACCCAATGACTCACCACCATACGAATTTTAGAGAACACTTTATTGTTTTTTTTCTTCCTCTTTTCATTCTTTTGCTTTTTTCGGGACTCCCTTTTTTCATTATTTTTGTGATGATTTGACTTCAAATTTGAATGAATGGGTTGCTAAAAATATTACTTTTTGGCTCGAAACTTTGCATTGATCTAGATCATGATCTTTGTGGGCGGAGCTTGTTCAAAAACCGTGCGGCACTTGCGTTTTCGATTATGAAATTTTTCTGCGGCTTTGTTTTCCTACCAATCCCGCCCCCTGTTTATGAGTGTCTGTTTCTTTTTGTGTTTTCGTCATTTTTCTTTTTGTTTATGATTATTTTCAGCGTTTCAGTTCTAGACTTGCCACCTTTTACATCTGTGACTACGGTAGTTCATAAAGTACGCAAACACCGACGCGCGAATTTCGTACTTTGAGAAGACAAAAATTTCATCAAATTTCAATTGACCTAGAATCGGGTTTTTCGTCGTTTCTCTTCCTATATTTTCTCAGTTTTTAAACTTTTTGTAATTTTGAAAAAAAAAATATTCTGCAAAAAATTCCAGTCAAAAGCACTGAAAAATTCGCAAAAATCGACGAAATTCAAACTTTTTTAGGTGGAAATTTAAATAAATTTTCAGTGTTTTTGTTCGTTTAATTTTTGAAGGCTTGGCTTGCCGCAAAAAAGGCGTTTTAGCATAATAGGAAACCTAAAACACTGAAAAAATTCTCAAAATTGAAATATTTGGGGGTTTTACCCTAACACCAATTCGCGAGCTAATTAATCAAAATTCGAAAAATTTTCACGACCTCAAAAACCGAAAATATCAGCAGAAATCCCTAGCGCCGGAAATTTATGACAATAAAAAACATATTCCAATTATCCTATATATTTTTTTAAACATTTTCTCACATGATGATGATGATTCATTTCGGGGTGGGCTTTTCCATTGTCGTTTTGTTTTCCAAGCCAAAAAATTGGAACGTTTTCTTTCAATGATTTCAATTCGTCAATACATCAAACCATGTTTCCTTATTTCAGTTTCTCTGGTGGCCCACCGGTCTCTCAAAATTTCAACATGTTCTCGTGACCCACTGAAAAACAACACCCTGTGTGAATTTTTCAGTTTAGTGCCTATTTCTCTCACTCTATTGATTCGAATGTTCTCGAAATTATGTGGACCCCCCCCCCCCACCACCACAACTATATAATTAGGTGCTAGTCTTCTAGTTTCACCTGCCCTACTATGAGCTGCACAACGGCCAAAATCAATAGTTCTCACTGCATGACCCGGAAAAAAATAGCTGAGTTCAGCGAAATTGCGAAATCAATCACGTGGTGTCGATCAATGGAGAACTCTTCCATGACGAAAAACGGCTGAAAAGCAGCCAGAATAACATCCTGGGGTCTCTCCGCTCGCACGCATTGTGGCCCGGTCTCCCATGACGCTTTTCAAAATGCGCTCTGTTGTACACACTCTTTTTGCGGGGTAAACAACGACCACCTCACTGCTGCCCTCACAGCCATTCTATTCTCTACAGGCCAACGGGATAGTCCGATGATGGACCAACGCGCACTCTCTACTCTTCTCTTTCCATATTGCGCTTACTCGGGTATCTTCCTGCTTCCTCATTTTTTCGCGACGAAATGTTCTCATTTCACTTCTTTCTACCTTCCTTTCGTCACTTATTTGAGGTGGCTCCGCCCACTTTTCCTTACTGCTTTATCAAACAAAGCGACCACCATCGACTCTCTGTTTTCCTTCGTCTGCTCCTTTTTCGCTCACTTTTTGCTAGCTTTTTCCCGTCTCATAGTTTATATACGGTAACATTTACAGATCTCCACCAATTAAAATACGAATTATTAGCCATCAGAGGAGTAAAAATGAGGAGTCGTCTCGCCCTGACGGGCTTTGTTTTTATTTCATTGGTTACGATTCTAGATGGTGTTGTAGTCCGGCTGGGAGAACCCACAAAAGGTAAAGAAATGTTGTTTACGAAGGTAGAAAAATCTGGAAGAGAACAGTATTGATTTCGCAATTTTTCACTGATTCGACTGAAGAGTCATGTATACTGTTAACGAGAAAAACTGTTACCGTAAAAATCTGTATTAGAATTGCAGGCTCTTCTATTGTTCCAGGGTACCTTCATGGGGCCCTTCTATTTTTCTGGTCATTTTTTTCATCGAAAATTAGCCAAATTCGCGTTCAAAATGCATGAAAACCTATAGATTTTACCGAAATTTAGCGAGTTTTCCTGCAAAAAAAAAGTTTTTGAACAAATTTCTGTGAATATTCAGTTTTTTTCAGAATATATTTCACTGAAAACGTACAAAAATTTACAAACAGCACATTGCGAAGAGGGTCCTTCTATTAGAGGGACCCTTCTATTAAAAGGGCCCTTCTAATACAGGTTTTACGGTACTCTGTATTTTCTCAAAAACCATCTAAAATTTTCAGCTTGCAAAGCGGATTCGTTCAAATGTGAAGACAATCGGTGCATTCCGATGTCATGGCGATGTGACGGAGATATCGACTGTCAAAACGAAGAGGATGAGAAGAACTGTCCCAGTAAGAAAATCTTCTTTCATTCTATTTATTACCAAACTGAAAATTTTCAGAAACTTGTGGTGAAAAGGAGCACAAATGCGGAAATGTGACGTCTGCGCGTTCGTCTCTTCAACGATTCAAGTGCATTCCAGAAGCTTGGCTGTGCGACGGAGAGTTCGACTGTGAAGACAAATCTGACGAGTTTCAGTGCAAAAGTATGTCAAAATTTGTCTGAAATACTAGAAATAATATATTTTTCCAGACGTTTCCTGTCATGAAAACCAATTCCAATGCGAGGAGCTCACTGGCGATTACAGCCTCTGTATTCCAAAAACCTGGGTTTGTGATGGCCAGAGAGATTGCACCAACGGAAAAGACGAGTTGAACTGTACGGCGAAGGCGCAGAAGTGTCCCGATAACAACTTCCAGTACGTTGTCTTTCATTTCAATCTTTCCCGATGTGTTGACCTAATTATACCACTTAGAAAGATCAAGAAAATGTCTGTTCCAGGTGCAACAACGGTAACTGCATCTTCAAAAACTGGGTGTGCGATGGAGAGGAGGATTGCTCTGATGGCTCTGATGAGCTGCTCACTGGACCATCCCATTGCAACGCTAGTGTAAATCAATGCCCGCCCGGAGAAATGTGGAAGGTAAGAAGCAGTGTTTATGGAACTTTTGGGATTGTTTATGCGCAGTTTTAGTGGATTGTTTGTTTGTTTTCATATGGTGGACAAAGTATCGAGTGTTAAATACTTAGCTTGTTTGAAATATAGACAATCATTGATAATGTGAAGAGTAGACAAGGGGGGAAACGTTTTTGTTATCAGCGATTCTCCCCCGCAAAGTCTATGGTCATTAGGGTTGCAATACAAAATGAAACAACGTTTTTTCAGTGCGGCTCTGGTGAATGTATCCCACTGCGGTGGAAATGTGATTCTGAAGTCGACTGTAAGGATCACTCCGATGAAAGGAATTGTAGTTCCGTTCAACACACTTGCAAGCTAGCGGAGGTTTGTTTTATTGACTATTTATGACCAGCTGCTGCCGCAACATATCCATTAGGAAGGCCCTAAGTGGAGTACACACCACAATTAGATGATATTAATCTGACGTAACAAAGGTACACCTATTCTAGGAATTCGCCTGCAAAACAGTCAACAAGTGTATCAGCAAATCCTTCGTATGTGATGGAGAATTTGATTGCTCCGATGGAACCGATGAGGACGACTGTGATGACCAACGTAAAGAATGCAAAAAGGGAGAGTGGACTTGTCCCGCTACATTCGGAGCATATGGCGCTGAATCTGGTCTCGTTTTGTGTATCCCGGAAACTCTTCGTTGCAATGGAGAGGAGGATTGTCCGGATGGTGGAGATGAGAAGAATTGCAGTGCGGAAAAACCTGAAACTTGCAAAGAAGGAACCGAGTTCACATGCCCATCTACTCCGCTGCAATGTCTAGAAATGACCAAGTTGTGCACAAACTCACGATTCGATTGTGGAGATGGAAACATGTCTGTCTGTGATCAGCAGAAACTCATTGGTAAATTATTTTCTTGACTTCAAAAATAAGCACATAAATTTACAGGACTCTGCAAGGCCGGATCCGATGGGTGCATCTGTCGAAAATCATATGTTAAAGGAAACGATGTTTGTCACTGTAAAGAAGGATACAAACTCGGAAACGGACAGTGCATTGGTGAGTAAGGGAGAGATTGATGGTTTAGCGCGAGAACAAACATCGAACAGAAAAAGAAAAAAACAGAGAAGGCTTTGGTAATAACTGCTGCGGGTCTTTGATTGTCAGCTGGTTGCAGCAGCTATGCAAGCAAAAATAGTCAAACGGAAATTAATTCTTGGTTATATAACTTAACGTTAAACCTGTATTAGGAGAACTCTTCTATTGCTCCAAGGGACCTCTGGATGGCATACTCGTAACGGGCCGGGCTTTTTTCCGAATTTCGAAGGCCCGGCCCGGCGGGCCCGTCATTTCACAAGTTTTGAAAATTTCAAAAAACACATAAGGGGAGACCCTTATGTGATTTTTTCGATTTTTTTAGATTTTTTTAGATCAAAAAGGCAAACAATCCAAAAAAACAAAAAGATGGAGAAAATTATATTGAGAACTCAAAATTTGGCTCAAGTATACAGAATTTTTGATACCGGGCCCGGGCTTTGAAAATTTCCCCAGGCCCGGCCGGGCCCGGGCTTTGGCGGCAGACCCGGAATTTCACAAGTATGCTGGAGGGCCTTTCTATTACAGGGTCCCTTCAATTAGAGGGAGTACTTCCGTTCCTTCAAGATCCTCTTGAAGGGCTCTCCTACTAGAGGGGCCTTTCTATTTGAGGGGCCGTCTATTAGAGGGTCCCTTCTAATTCATGGTTTACGGTATCAATATTTATTCTTGCAGACATCGTCGAATGCGAAACTCCAGGAGTTTGTGATCAGATCTGTCTCAACACTCCCGGATCGTACAGATGCGCTTGCCACGCTGGATATCAATTGAGTTACGGAGATTCTTCATCAGGATCTCGACGCGTTGCCAACAGATGCCGTGCCATGGGTGGAGACCCATTGGTCTTGCTCACCAACAGACAATCCATTAGACAGTTTGATCTTGTCAATAAGATGTACTTTCCTGTTTCCTTGAAGCCAGGATCTGCAGTCGCGATGGATTTCCATATCAAGAATGGGGTAAGATTTGAAATTTGATAATGATCAGTCTATAACTACGTTTTTATAGACTCTTATCTGGTCTGATGTCATAAAGAAGCAAATCTTGAGTTGCACCATTGGAAATGTCACAGACTCGTATCTCGGAACTGAAATGTGCGACAAAAAGCACGAAGTCATTCTCGATGGAGAGAAGATTCACACTCCCGATGGTCTTGCTGTTGATTGGATCCACGACTTGCTCTTCTGGACGGACGGTGGACTTGATCAGATCAATGTGCTTGATATGAAAACCAGAAAGCAGCGTGTACTCTTCTCGAATGATTTGGAAGAGCCTAGAGCTATCGCTGTCGATCCAGAGGTTGGGCTCATTTTCTGGACTGATTGGGGAAAGAACGCAAGAATCGAGAGATCTGGAATGGATGGTCAAAATCGTGTCGTCATTGCTGATGGACACCGTGTCATTTGGCCGAACGGCTTGGCGCTTGATTACGTTGACAAGCGTGTCTACTGGGCTGATGCGAAGATCAAGTCGATTTTCAGTTGTGATTATTGGGGAAAAGACGTTAAGACTGTTCTGCACTCTCATCAGTTCCTTCGTCATCCATTCTCCATGGCTGTCTTTGAGAACAGATTGTTCTACACTGACTGGGAACACGATGGAGTCATCACTGTTAATAAGGTAGGCTCGGAAACTTTCTGTTTTCTTATTTCTTTGTCTAAACCGTTTAGACTATAAACGTTTCCAATTTCAGTTCACCGGAAACGATCTCCAAACTGTGATGACTGAAGTGAAATCCCCGATGACAGTTCGCATCTATCACCAACAGGCTCAGCCACATATTGAAGATAAGTGCTTCGAGTCCGCGTGTGAGCACCTTTGCCTCCCTCGTGCCGTCTACAAAGAAGCTTCTCGTGGTGCTGAGAAAGCCTTCAACGATAGACCATTCTCCTGTGCCTGTGAAGGAACTTCTGCTTCTGCAGCCTTGGAATGTTTCGGTATGTTTTTTTTTGAATAAGTGTAGCATGTCGTTGTAATTCATCATTTCCAGCTGATCTCGAGAGCAAGTCTGGATTCTCAATGTTCACCATCTTCTTGCTTCTGTGCGTCGGTGGATTCGTTGCCGCTGGATTCGTAATGGTCCGTCGTAAGATGGGAGCTCGTTCGTTCACGGCTCTCAATTTCGATAATCCGATCTATCGCCGTACCACCGAGGAGGGTGATCACCAGATGGAAGACCCATTCCGTGATCCGTTTGCCGAACCTGCCAACAGAAGCAGCCGGAACGACGGGTTGCCGACGCTCGCTTCTGCTGACAACGAGACGCGAGCCGATGCGTTGAGCTTCTAGGGTGTAACTATAAAAGAAAAGATTTTATTTGCACCCATTTTTGTACAGATTGCCGGCCCAATTTTTTCTCATTTCATGTCACTTTTCTTGTAAATTTTTATATTTTTTCCATCTCCCCCAACCCCATCCGATTGTTCATGTGCAATTGTCTCAGAGTCTTCTGATTCAGAAGTTCTGAGAAATCCACTGTGTGAAAACGTGTAGAATCCATACTGTGAAAGTTTTCCATTGTCTTCCTCCTCCAGAATTTGCGTGTTTATCTCCAAAAGGTTTTGGGTAGTCGTTGTGCGTCTCCAGTGTTTAGATTTCATGTATTCAATTGCTTTCCCTTCTCCAATTATCACTATATCATTATTTGTCTGTGTGCTCCTTCCCCCCTACAATCACCCGGTTTTAAATTCTCTTCCAAATTTTTTATATGGAGGCATTTTCTCTCAATCATTGTTATATGAAATCCTCGCGAAGCTGGTAAATTTGAAATGACTTGATTGTCTTCTTCCACTGATGCATACTCCCCCTTCAATTGTGTCCCCCTCCCTCCAATTCAGTAAAAGATTTCTAAAGTGTTGGGGTGGTCTGAAATACGATTCGAAAAATCCGAAAAATCACACAAGAAGCACATTTGTCTTCTTGGCACACGAAAGTGCACACACTCTGCGGGAATGTGTCTGTTTTTCGCCTAGTCTCCTCCTCCCTGGTCATCTTTTTGCTTTCAAAATCGACAGCTGTTGAAATGAGTGAGTGAGCCACTACTTCCCGGGAATTCGGAAATCCAGGAGCTTCAGTTGGGAAAAATGATGCTCGCGATATTTCGAAAAAAAAATTTTTCCTTTTTCTTTAAAATTTGATTTTTGACATATATCGCATAAATATTCTGAGAAAAATTTTAACATAAAAAAAGCAGTTAGAAAACTACAGTAGCCTAAAATATGTTTATTTTTCGCCTTTTTTTCTCGTTTTTCACTGATTTTCGTCGATTTTCCTGTTATTTTCCCCCAAAAAAGTTTAAAAACATTTTTTGAAAGCAGAAAAATTGACTGAAAATCAAAAAAATAATAAAAATGCGCCTTTAAAGTTGAGACGCGTCGTAGGTGTCTCTCCATTTCTTTAAAGGCGCATATCTCGCGAACCATCAACGCTATCAAGATTTCGTAAACTAACAAAATGTGGTAAATTTCATGAGCTATATTTTACTAGTTGACAAAATTTTGATACCAAATTTAGTTTTTGAGATATGGAGCTTCAAAATTTAGTTGGGCGCAATTTTTTAAATCGAATATATCTCAAAAAATAAGAAAGCTAGAGTATAATTTTCTACTAGAAAATTGTGGAACATAGAATTTCACACATTTTGTTAGTTTACAAAATTTTGATAGCGTCAATGGTTCGCGAGATATGCGTCTTTAAAGGAAGGGAGAGACACCTACGGCGCGTCTCAACTTTAAAGGCGCACATCTCTCAAACGAATGAAGCTATCAAAAGATTTCTGCAAAACAAAATATGAATGAAAAAATTTGTAGGTTACTGTAGTTTTCGTTCAGGGACCTTCGTCCACTACCACCGGCGTTCCTCTTCCACGGCTCTTTTATTTTTGTACTAGATTAATAATAATAAACCCAAAATATTTATACGGTCTCTCTTCTTTGTAACTTGTAAGCCTGGTGCCGATGACAATTGACATAGGACAGACACATCAATTCGGGAGATATCATTGTAATAATCTCTGTGTCTCTTCAACCCACACACTATTTCCTCTGCTGACCAGTAATATCACATTGTAAACCTGAGAGAAGCGTCTTGCTCTCCGAATACTTTCAAAATCTCATTGTTTTTTGTTTGTTGCTCATCACTCATCACTCTTCTTCTGTTTTTTTTCAGACCCAAATGATATGAAAACCTGAAACTTTCAATGAAAAATTTATCAAATTGTCTGCTTCTCTCCATCATTGCATGTTTTCATTTGATCTCTTCCCAAGACATTCCATTGGCTCCGTATAATGTGAAAGTGAGTGTATTGGATCTAAAGAATCCGGCTCATTTTCCATCCATCTGTTTTCAGTTAATGTGCCGTCAAGGTCGGCGGTTTTCCAAGGCGGCTCAGGCGACGAATCAGTGTCCGACGTCTTCAACTTCTTGTGGATATTTTGAATTTTCAAGTGGAGATAAGAAGAGTGGAAATCCAACAACCGGGGTTTACGATTGTGTTGATGGCGGGATTCTATTTGAGGATTCTGGAGAGGTGGATGAAGATTCGGACGATATTCATGGAATGGTAGGTTTTTAATTTTGAGCCAATTTATCTCGGTTGCTGTGAAAGAAATCAAAAGGGATCAACTGATAAAATGCTTATCATAATATCACAAACATTTTATTAGTTGTCACTTTTCTGATAACGTTTACAGGAAGCGAGATAATTGAGCTCAAAGTGCATAGGATGTGTTTCCACTAGAGCATGTACGGTAATCACGCCCAACTCAATTATTTCAGTTCCTATGAGAGATATCAAAAATGCATCAACTAATAAAATATTAGTGATTTTATGATAAACATTTTATTAGTTGACACTTTTTTGATATCTTTGACAGGAACAAGCTCAAAGTACAAGTATAGGAATTCTCAAATAGAAGCCCACTCTATATATGAAGTTTGAGCTCTTATCTCTGTTCGCCTAAAAGATATCTAAAAATGTCAGCTGATAAATTTCTATCATAATATCATGATAATTTCATAGTTTACATTTTTTTAATATCTTTCACAGAAACCGAGATAATTTGTTTCAAAGTTGCAAGAGGGTAAGCTAAAAAATGCAATATCTTGGAGCGCTCGTATCTCAAAAACTACCGTAGTCATCGTAATGGTGTGTACTACAATAATGTAAATCTCAAAATTTTTACACCTTTCGTTAGTTTGCAAAACATTTCTAGAATTTGTGGTTTGGGAGATACGCGCCTTTAAAAATACAACGCTTCACTCAAGTTTTATGCTTGTAAAAATTTTGGTCCGAGCAGCTATGCGCCACACTGTAGCGGTATAACCGTTCTCTTTTCAGTCCGGATTCTCGGAAATGTGTGGAGCCATTCCAAAATGCACTACACTTCCAGTGGAGAAGCTGAATCCGTCGTTCATCAAATACGTCGTTCAGGAGTATGACATCAAACTGGAACTCCTAGAAAACACTGAAATCCGCTTCTGTTGTGCACTGTTCCACTCTACACTTCAGAGACTAGTGACGTCTCCTACTTTTTCCCTTCGTGAGCAAAATATTGCTGAAAACTATAGAAATGGAATCATGATTTCAGAAGAAACGGCAGCAGCACCAATTAGTTGTCATGGAAAAACCTGTGCTCCTGGAGCTGTCGGGTGTCTTTTACATGCTGTTCACGACGAGGAATACGATGATTACGAAGGTATTGGGATTTTGAAAAAAACATAACTTTATTGAACATTTCGATGCAATAAAATGTTTTGGCCGGAGCCCCTCTTGAAGCTAAACAAAATTTTTCAGCTTTTGTATCTCAAAAAAAACTGTAATTATCAAAAAGGTGTAAACTGCAAAAATGTGGATCTTAGAATTTGTCATCTTTTGTTAGTTGACATAATGCTTCCAGCTTATGCAGTTTTTGAGATATGCTCCTTTAAAGTTTAATAAAATTATTTTATTTCCAGAAGAAACCAAACAACGATACAGAAGACTAGCTCTGAATGATTACATAGAAGAAGATGATGATTATGTGAATGCCGTGGAGGTTGGTTTATAAAAAATTTAAAAGATTCACTTCCCATTTTTCAGCTCAATTTCGAAGACACAGATCTCGAGTTAATAACTAGAGAACCACCAGTTGAAACTACTACAACTACAACTTCTAAGCCAACTTTGCCCAGTTTGAAGCTTCCAATGTCGTTGGGTAAGTTTTCTGAAAATTCAAAAATTCTGAAGATTTAAAATTAAGAAATTTCCAAATTTCAAAAATTTGGAATTTTGTAATTTTAATTCTGCAAAATTCCAAAACTTCGAATGTCTGAAAACTGGGAGATTTCCAGAATTTAAAAAAATCTAGAATCAAAAAATTCCAATTTTTTTTGAAATCACACACGACTTAAATTTGACTTAATCTTAGACTTTTAAGATTCTTTCAGAAGATATCACAACCACGAAACCAATGACAACGACTACATCAAGACCCAGAACAACTGCATCTACTGGAATTTCAAAGAGCAAAACTTTTAATACAAAACATACTCATAGTGAAGGTGAGTTTACAATAAACCCTGTAATAGAAGGGCACCACACACTGCCAACTTTGAGCTTAATTATCTCGGCTCCTATATGAGATATCAAAAATTTGTCAACTGATAAAATGTTTTTGATATCCTGATAAACAATTCATCTGTTGACAACATTTTGATATCTTTTACAGGAAACGGGATGAATTCGCTCAAACTTGACAATGCTTATATCACAGGACTTACAGTATTTGTTTTCAGAAGAGGAAGAAGAAGAGGATGATCTCAAGCAATCTACCTATTGTGTTTATCGTCATTTGAACAACGAATTCTATCGCTACTGTCTCTTGGTTCATCAATCTAGAGATGGTGATCGCTGCTATCATCATCAGGGACATACGATATGTTGTTGCTTCGTGGCGCCGGATAAAGAAAGTTGTGATCCAACTGAAATGGATCTTATTGTTCCACCACCGGCTGATGGAAAAGCTCTCCCTCCACGTGTCATTGTTACCATTCCTCCCAGTACAACTACAACCACAACTACAACTACAACGACGACTACCGAAGAGCCTTCTACGAGTACAACGAGTACAACAACTTCAGAACCAACAACAACCACGCTTGAACCATCACAGTATCCATCGTTGCCTCCACAAGTGTATCGACCGCGACCGATTGATCAGATGAAAAAGAGGAAACAGGCACCGAAAAAGTGAGTTTAGTGATATTCAAAAAACGAGAAGGAAATGTCAATAAGATACAAAAACCAATTTTTTCTGTTGGTTTTTGGCCATTTTGACCGTTTCAGGAGTCTGAAGCTTGTCTGCAAAGTTTCCGTCATTTTTTAATTTTTGGAGGATACAAAACAGAGCTAAATTAGAAACTTTGCATTTACGGAATTTTTTGAAATTTCTAGTTTTTCAGGTTTTTCCGATTTCTGAAAGTCACCTGTTTTTTTCACGTTTTCAGTACTAAAACGGGCCAAAAGGGGTGTCTTTCAGCAATCGGCAAATAACTGAAAAACTAGGAGTTCTCAAAAAATTTTTTAAATGCAATATTTTCGATCTAGATCTGCTTTACACCCTCCAAAAATTTCAAAATGTTCGGAGACTTGACAGCCGAGCTTCAGACTTCTGAAAATGGTGAAAATAGCAAAAAAATCAACTGAAAAAATACATTTTTGTATATCTTAACCGGTACCGTAACTTCTTAAACATTTTAATGCAATATAAATTTTTGGTCGAAGCCCCCCTTTAAACCACTGAAATTCAAAAAAAAATTATTGAAATGGAAGAAAAAAAGTAGAAAAAACGAAACTTAAAGACCTCCAGCAACTAGAAATTTGGGAACGCAGATTATGAAAACCTCGAGAATCAAAAATTCAGGTGCTTAGGAATACAAAAAAAAGGAAATCCATAAATCTGATATTTGAAATTCTGAAATCTTGAGTCCGGAAAACCGGAAATCCAGAGTTCCAAGCATCCAGAATATTTAGAAATTGGGGATTTGGAAAAAACTGACATCAAGAATTCTCTGGAAAATTCGAAAATTCAGAAGTCCTAATTTCGAACCACGGGAATCCGGAAATCCGTTATTTTGAATTTCCGAAATCCGGAAATCTTAAAAATTGGAATTCCAGAAAGCCGAAAATCTTTGAAAACCAAAATAACGGACGAGCGTCGATTTTTTTTCCGTAAGCACTCTCATAGAACGCCACCCAAACTGTTAACTTTGAACTTATGTACATATCTCATTTTGTTTAAAAGATATCAAAAAGTGGTCAACTAACAAAATGTTTATCATAATGTCAGCAATATTTTGTCTGTTGACTAATTTTTAGTATCTCTTATAGAAAATGAGATAGCTGGGACCAAAGTTGGCGGTTTGGTTGGCGTTCTATTTACGGTAATTACTGTTAGGTGTTTACGGTAAGTGATGCTTATGTTACATAGGTGCTATTAAAATCGACCATTGAAAAAATCCAAACTTCAAAAAATGCTTTTTCAGATGCCGAGTCGCCTATGTCCGCACCAAATCTGGCTCCCGGACCCGCCCAGTCCTTGTCTGTGAATCTACTTCTACTTCCAACTCATTTATTTATCCCGTTTTCCTGGTTTCCTCAATTGTTTTCTTGTTACAGGTCGTCTTCTTTCAATTTTGAATTTATAATATTTAATAAATTGTTTTCTTTTTCTTCTTCATTCTGACTAGAGAGACGTCACATACAGACAAGTGTTCCTGGTCAGTTTTGGCATCAAGTTACAGGGACGAAGGCAAACATTGTGTTGAAATTCATTTATTCCCGCATTCTTCATTCAGGTACATATATACTCATTCATATCCGTATAGTCCTCTTCAATCGAGCCAGCTTCTTTTCATCCCATTGCATTTCCTTCTTTTTTCTCACTTTCACTAGTTTTACTTTTTCCCCCCACCATCAACTTTCTCCAAAACTTTTGCCAAATATGTTCATCGTCGTATATTAAAAGTGTACATTCTCTCTTCCCCATATATGCTACTTTTCGCCCCTCTCCCAGCTAACCGGTTATTACGGTTCTTCTCAAATCCACACAAATCTCTGAAGAGAGTAAAACCGGACCGCGCGTGCCGCTGCTTAGCAGCCCATTTGGATGCCGTCATCATTCTTTCAAATTTTCAGCATGTCATGATGATTCTCAAATCTTTTTATACTGCTTCTTTTCTTCTAATATTTTCACTCCCGGCTCGAATAGATGCTCATATTTCAAGGGTTAGTTGGTTTATAGCATACTTGAAAACTGGTATTGTCATAGTTTTCTTTAGAAACAATATTTTTAACTTTACTAAATTAGACACGATAGAACTTGAAGAGCACTATAGAATGGTACCATTCTTGTCTATGGACAAAGATACAAGCCATACAGTGACTAATACTGGGCCGAACCGCGCCCCACCTGTTTTTAGCCCGTTTGGTCTGTAACTTTGTTCACAGACATGATACAAATTTTTAAATAGTATCATTTTGTACTGCTCATCAAGTATTATCATTTCTTATTTATTTGATCCAAGATTGTCAACTCGAATTGAAACTATGACAAGGGTTGCAAGGGCCCTTTGGGGCCATTTTTGGTTCATAGAAAACATGTATGGTTCATAGAAACTCCTCTACTCAAAATTTATATTCTAGATATCAACAGATTGTGACATTGAATTTGCCGAATCTGCCACCAAATTGGCATCCGAACATATCACAGATCCAGCAATCGTTCAGTATATCCATGCCGTCATGTCTTCCTGTAACAAGGCGCCAATTCAAAAAATGGCTGAAACTTCAGTATTCCTTCTGGAAAAGGGCACAATCACACCTAGAGTGATGCATCAAATTCGAGAATCCTATGAAAAGATTCAGAAGCGAAAGGAGGGAGAATTGACAAAAAAGATTAGTCAATTACCGCCAGAGCTGTACAGTGTAAGGACATCGTAAAACCTTTGACCTAATTTATCTCGGTTACTAAGAGATATTAAAAATGAGTCAACTGATAAAATGTTTGTGATAATATAAGAAACAATTTATTAGTTGACAACTGTTTTATATCTTTGACAGGAACCGAGATAATTAAGCTGAAAGTGCAAGTAGAGAGTGGGAATGCGGAAAAAGAAGCTCACCCTATACATGACGTTTGAGCTCAATTATCTCGGTTACTGTAAGAGATATCAAAAGTTTTCTAACTGATAAAATGTTCATGATATTATGATGAACGATTTATCAAATGACAATTTTTTTCATATCTTTGACAGGAACCAAGATAAATTGGCTCAAAGTTAGAAGTTATGCCGGTAAATTACTTTTTACAGACAGCTCAAAAAATTAAAAAAATTTCTACATCTGGAGGATTAAGCGGAAATGAAAGGATACAACATGTCGAGATGGCTCTAGGAGGTTTGCCTTTTTTATCAATACATCTAGACCTGATTTCATTTTTCTAACTCCGGAAAAATTTCTTAACATTAATCTTTAAGTCAAAGCCTCCCAATCTTTTCTAGGTTTATATTCAGCTCTTCCTTCTTCGTATCAACGACAGATTCTCGAAATTCTTCAGGAATCCCCTCCGAAACTCGATGGAGCAACTTTTGAGCAGCCCGAGAAAGCTGTCAGTTTTTTAAAAAGTTTTATTGGAAATTATCTTCTTTTTTTTCAGATTGAAGTTACGCAACTTCCACCGTCGTTTGCAATTCCAAAGAATAGTGAACCTAATGAAAACTCCCAAAGATTCATGATACCCGAAAGACAAGAAGAACCTGAAAGACGTTTGGAGCATAAAGTTCCTCTTCCAGAAGGTATAAATTTCAATTGTTCCAGCCGAATTCCCTTCTATAACTTCAGAATCGATGACGATGGTTCCACGTGTAAATATGCCATTTCAACCTCGAGAAAACCGGATTCAAATCCACCCTACTGCCATTAGTGGGAAACAACAAAATGTGCTGTTTCCGGATCTTCCTCCAACCAGACCGGTATTTGAAATGAAAGTTCTAAAAGGTTCACAATTATTTTTTGAAAATTCAGATCGAACCAACTATCAGAAACCAGGCTTCAGGTCTCAGAAGTCTATTGGAGAATCCGAATTTCGATAGCATTTTAAGTTCTATAGTACAAAAAGGAGCGAAAATTGCTGAAGGACCTTTGCCACGTACAGTTGGAGCTGTGGATCATACGAAAACGGGATCTAATGAGCTGGGAATTCTGAATCCAGCTATGTGGTCTGATGCGGCCAAACTGTTATCAAGAAGTACGAATGATTTGCCAACGGCGGTAAGTTATGGGGTTTTTAAGCTCATGAAAACAATAATTATAGCTATCCAAGTTCATTGAAAACGGATCTCAAAATCTTCCACAAGTTTTGATTCCTGGTGGAAACCAAATTCGACAGTCTCCTCCGATTAAGAGTTTGCAAAGTGGGTTTTTAAAGTGTGCCGAAAATTTTTATTGCATTAAAATGTTCGAAAAGTTATGTATTTGCTTAATGTCATTGATTGGAAAAAGTATAACAGCGGAGTCCCTGGAAAATCTAATTTCAATGTTCTTATAAAAAGAAGAAGCCAGAGGAAGCGCCTACTTTAAAGGCGCATATCTCGAAAACTAACAATGCCAGACAAATTTCGCTAACTAACGAAAGATGTAAAATGTTGGGATCTACATTTTTGTAGTTTAAACCATTTTGATAACTACCGTAGTGTTTGAGATACAAACGGTCAAAGATTTTGCTTTTCTCCTGGAAGGGATCAGTTTTGGCATCAAGTTACAGGGACGAGGGCAAACATTGTGTTGAAACTTTGACCAAAATTTTTTTATGAAATCAAAATGCTCAGAAAGTTATGTATTTTCCTGATATTAATGTGAAAAAAATTCAAAAAAAATCAGAAATTTCCGAAAAATTCCTTTTTTTGCTGAATAAGATGGCGACCGAGGATTTGAATTCGCAGTGAGAAACCTAGGCCACGGCGGTGGGACAACTCTTTCTAGGTGGCCGACAGTGGTTTTTAAACTTTTTTACGCAAAAAAAAACCCCCGAACACCCATACATACAAAAGGCGTTCCGCGGTCGTGGCCAAGGTTTTTCACTGCGCGGGAGTTCAAATCCTCGTCCCCATTCGCCACCTTTTAAGGCATGTTTTTTGCAACTTCTTCGGATTTTTTGCATTAATTTTTAGAATGTTTTAAATTTTTTATTGCAACTTCTTCGGACTTTTAAAGGTTTTTTGCAATAATTTTTTAGAATTTTTGCAATTTTTTTCCAACTTCTTCGTAATTTCAGAATTTTTTTGCAATAATTTTTTAAAGAATTTTTAAACAATTTTTAGAATTTTTTTGCAACTTCTTTGGATTTTTAAAAGTTTTAAGAATTTTTGACACTCCACCGATTCCGAGGAAGGGGTTGTCTCCGAGGAACCGATTCCGAGGAAATCGGGGCGTAGTTTCAATTTTTGCAGTGCCGCAGTTGAACCGTGCGGCAGTTGCAAAGTAAACTCCGCCCCGATTTCCTCGGAATCGGTTCCTCGGAGACAACCCCT